TGGTGGTTAGTGCGGTGAGGGGGTTGGGAGCCAGGACTCCTGGGTTCTCTCCCCGGCTCGGGGAGGGGAGTGGGGGCTGGTGGGTTAGAGCAGGGGGGGCTGAGAGCCAGGACTCCTGGGTTCTGTCCCCGGCTCTGGGAGAGAAGTGGGGGCTGGTGGTTAGTGCGGTGAGGGGGTTGGGAGCCAGGACTCCTGGGTTCTCTCCCCGGCTCTGGGAGAGAAGTGGGGGCTGGTGGTCAGAGCAGGGGGGGCTGGGTGCCAGGACTCCTGGGCTGACTCGCCAATTCTGACAGAGCACCTCAGTTTCTCCATCTGTGAGACAGGGAAAATAATCTGGTCCAGGAAGACGGCGAGGGCAGGGAACGCCCCCCACTGTGTAAAAACCCAGCCCCACGCTCCACCCCGAACCCAGTCAAAGCAGAGCGAAAACCATTCACCCCGCTCTCAAAGGAGAGCAGCCCTTCCCCCACCAGCCACCCTTCCTTTCCCTTTACAAACCCACCCCTGGGATCACACAGTTCCCCCGAGGTCTGGGTCTAACTCAAGGGGATTTTTAAGACCCCTGCTCCAATCAGGAACTGAACAGCCCTGAAAGCGAAACTGACCACGAAACTGATGAGGGAGCGCAGGGGCCTGGCTGGTGATGGGGATTGTAACAGGCCCTCCCGCCCCATCAGCTCTGGGGATGAAGCAGGAGGAGACCCCAGTTCTGTTCTCGCCCCCCTATCAAAAAAGGGCGATGGTGTTTTCTAGCAGCAGGACTCCGGACTGTCTTCTTATATCCAGGGAGAGAACCCAGCAGTCTTGGCTCCCAGCCCCCCCCTCCCCTCCCTCTGCCCTGCCTTTTTGGCCCCCTGCCCTATCACATGCCATGGCACCTGCCTGCACTGGAGAAGCCCAGATTAGATTTGCCATAGGCTAACCCCCTGCTTCACACACCCCCACACACTATTTTAACCACCCACCTGCTTCCCCGTCTCAAACAGCCCCCAGCACCTGTCATCCCTTGGCAAGGGCACGGATTCCCCCGCCCCACGGGTCTGGCGCCGGCCCCGGGGGCACCAGGACGTGACTCCCGGGCCAGCCGCGAAGGCCTCCTCCCAGAATTAGCTTCCCAGCTGCTTCACCCCAGCTGATCCGATCCGCAGGCTGGCGGGGATCCGATCCGGCGAGGCCTGAGACCACGGGGAGAGGCGGTAGATCAGGAACCCTCGGGGGAGGGAAACGGGGGGGGGGGGTGTCCCAGAGGACTTCCCCCCTCTCCCCCAGCACAATCCCTGGCCCAGGGAATGGGGCACATGGCCTGTCCCCTCTAGGGGGCGCCAGCTCCAATCCGGCCACAAGGCAGGGACTGGCTGGGTCGGGGGACAGGGAATGGGGCACGGGGCCTTTCCCCTCTAGGGGGCACCAGGTCTGATTGACAACGGGCTGAGATGGGGGTCCCCTCCATAGCACCCAGCCCAGAGGGGTCCCCCCCGATCGATCTGTGTAGCTCCCCGGCACAACAGGAGAGTCCACGCTGCACGACCCCGCCTCCGCTAGGGGGCGCTAGGACTCCCAGGATGCTCTGCACCGAGGCGCTCTATGAGCCCAGTGCATTGTGGGAGAGCGCGGCTGTCCTAGGTGTGCCGGGGGAACCATGGGAAGGTGCCGGAGGGCTGGCAGGGGGGTTAGCGGCTCGGGGGAACACGACAATCGGCTCTCACACCACTCCCAGCCAAGCCAGCCCCGGGAGTGCGGGGGTCCCCCTCAGGTTAAAATCAGGACTAAGGCCAGCCCCCAACCTGCGCCTGGCCCACCCCAAGAGGAGAATCAGCAGCCACCGGGCCAGGCACGGGCCTGCCCATCACCTGCCCAAAGGCGGCGTCTGGGGTTGGCACTGGGCAGTATTTTAAGCATATTAACCCTCCCACAAGCAGGTGTCCCAAGACAGAAGACAAAAGCAGAGCAAGGCTTAGGTATGCCACCCCGCCCCAGGGACGGAGCCCGGACGCCTGGGTCCCAGCTCCCCGCCCCGGGGACGGAGCCCAGATCCCCTTCTTACCTCACTCCACCCCAGCTGGCACCAGGGCGCCTGGGTCCCATCCCATCACACACACCCCAGATGGCGCCAGGACGCCTGGGTCCCAACTCCCCACCCACCACTAGACGGCACCAGGACACCCGGGTCCCAACCTGACCTAACCTAACCCCACCCGCCCAGATGGAGCCAGGACGCCTGGGTCCCATCAGCCCAACGCTGGGAACCGAGAGCCGCCCAATGGCCGGTGGCAGAGGCCAGAGGGACACGGGAGTTTAGCCCCGAAGTCTATGTGGTGGTGAATTTGATTCACCTGGAGGAGAAGGACCCAGCGCCCCCTTCCCCACCCCCAGGAAGAACTCCGGGCCCCACTGAGCCGGGCGCTGACCCCGCAGTCGGCAGAGAAACACAGACAGAATCTCACCCCCGTAACACCGCAGACACCACACAAGCAACACAGCACAGCTAGGCTAAGAGACAGTGTGGCCGGGGGAGGGGGAGGTGTCAGGATGCCTGGGTTCTGTTCTCAGCACACTGGGTGACCTTGGGTCCGTCCCCGCTCCGTGCCTCAGTTTCCCCATCCCTAACGATCCCGCCCGCCTTTGGAAAGCGCCTTGACATCTACGGCCGAAACACACTAGGGGTTATTCCACTGTCCCGTAAATCCACAAGAAACTGACTGGAGCCCATCACCCTGGGGTCTGAGGGCCTCCCAATCTGAGGTAGGTTGCCTATTTCACAGACAGACTCTCTAGGCCTCGGTTTCCCTAAAGGTTTGAAATTCAGCCTCGTCGGTCCTAGGCCAAAACGCTAACCACTGAGATCAGGGCCCCCCTGACTGAGATCTGGGGGCCCCTCCAGTACTCCCGGCGCCGCACTCAGCTTCCTCCGCCCGAGATCAGGGGCCCTTCGCCAGTCCCTGCCCCTAGGAACTTCCGATCTAACAGACGGGGAGCATTTATCCCCAGTTTCCAGATGGGGAAACTGAGGCACGGCAAAGCCGTTTTCCCAAGATCCCAAAGGGAGGCAAATGAGCTGGATCCAGACGCCCTGGAGTCCAGATCCTTTCAAAGGTTCCTTTCGCTCTGATCCCCACCGGGATCTTCCACCCGGGTCTTCGAAAGTCAGGGTAAAAATACTCGACACAGAGAGCAGCTGAGTCAATTTCTTGCCCCTTTAAACCTGGCAGAATTTGACAGAGAAGAGGGGGTTGGTACACTTCATTTCTACGTGTTTAACTGCAGGGACAGAGGGGCTAGTGGTTGGGAGGGGGGGGAAACTGGGAGCCAGGACTCCTGGGTTCCATCCCTGGCTCTGGGAAGGGAATGGGGGCTGGTGGGTTAGAGTGGCGGGGGCTGGGAGCCAGGACTCTTGGGTTCTCTCCCCGGCTCTGGGAAGGGAGTGGGGGCTGGTGGCTAGAGCAGTGGGGACTGGGATCCCAAACTCCTGGGTTCTCTCCCCAGCTCTGGGAGGGGAGCGAAGGCTAATGGATTGGAGCGGGGCAGACTGGGAGTCAGAACTCCGGGATTCTAGCCCTGATGGCCTCCCAAGTCCCTTGCCGATCCATGACTCAGTTTCCCCGTCTGACAAAGGGGGGATGATCCTGATCTACCTCCCAGGGGGTTGCGGGACGAGGCTTTCACCACCCTCCGAGGCAGGGAAGTTACAAGTACATTTCACAGTCAGTTCCCTTCCCCCTTAGCCCAGATATGACCCGCTTTGTGGTGGGTCAACTGGTTTTGACCTGGTCTGTCGTATCTTTGCTCCAATCAAAGAACCGGACGTCGCCTGCCTGCGAATGCACCAGGCCCCCTTGATTGGCTCCAAGCAGCCGCTGGCAGGGAGGGGAGGGTTAAACGCCTGTTTCCAGAATAGATTTGGGGTGGCAGGCCCCTTTTCAACCTGTTCACCCCAAGGTCCCCCAGGACTTAGAGGCAGCAGGTAACTCCCCCACCCCGGCATCCCCGACACACACTCATTCACCACGCAGCCAAAGACACTCAGAGCCAACATAATGACACCCCCCCCCTCCCAGCTGCCCCCAGCCTCCCTGTTGCCCCCCCCCCCCAGTTCTTGTCCAAAGCCCCAGTCCTTCACTCCCCCACGGCTCTCCTCATCCCAGTTTTAGGGGATCAGCGTCCTGCCCTACTCCTACCCCACAGCCCGATCCCCCTCAGATACCTCCCCCACTTAAATGCCTTCAGGTCTCCACTGGCCCAAAATCCCAGACGCCCCCCAAGACTGCTCCAAGGGGCCAGTCAATCCCAGAACCCCCTTGTCTATCTCCCCTCCTACCTCCACCTGCCTTGGGGTGCCAGCCCCCCAGATCCCCCTGTACCTTGGCTACCTCTTTAATCCCCTGTTCCCCTGCCCTTGGGTGCTTTTTTACCTCCCCTGAGTCCCTGTTCCATTGCCCCAGAAAAGCCCCCAGCTCCCCCCACGCCAGCCCTCCAGTTGCCATCCGAGACCCTGCCCAGACACTCCCACCAGATCCCCCAACTGTTCTCCAATCCTCCCAGCATCTCCCACAATCAGCCCCAGTTGCCCTCCCAGTCTCCCTGGACACCCCCCCCCCCCACCCCCCCCCCGTTCCCCCCCCCCCCCCCCGCGCCCCCCCCCCCCCCCACAGCCAGTCTCCCAATTGTTCTCCCAGATCCTCCCCAGCCCCCCACACACC